TATATGGAAGAATATGCATAAATTTGAACAGGAAATTAAAGTTAATTAAACTTTGATAGTTTGCAAGTATTTTCTGCACCAAATTAATGTACATACTTCTATGTACCAATGAGAAGCAAATTGATCTGTATATTGATATAGTAATTGACTTTTTCTGAAAATCAAACAAATATCCTTACATTTAATTTGGACACTGTTTATTATAACTGGCATTAGTACTTGTTTGTTCTCTTCAATAACTAAGACTCAGAATAAAAATATTTGCATTTCTGGTCTTGTACGTCAAAATATACACATCACTGCTTATTTTAGAAGTAATTTTAAAATAAAATAGAGAACATAAAAAACAAATATGTATAAATTGTGTAATTAAGCAGATTTTTTTTTCTGTGCCTTGCTAGTTCATGAACATACCATGTCTGTGATGGAAGTGAGATATATTTTAATAATCAGTCATACAATTAATGCATTTTGGGGGTTTTCGTGCATTTCTATTAGAAATGCGTTTCTAACACGGTACGTGGTAATTTGAATCAAATGTCATATTGCTGCTATTTGTGTCAGTTCTACCATGTACCTAGATCTTATGCAAATTTCATCATTTTTGTTTTCACCACCAGACTTTCTTACCCAAATTTTTCTGCACTTTTTTTTATATTCTTCAATATTTCTGGAAGTGAACCCTAATTTTAGAGTCAACAGACAAAATTTGAGTCATTTTTCAGTTTTTACTCAAATAATTTTGCTATTTTTGTCCCAATCCTCTGAAGGAAAGTGCAGACTATAAACAGTACTATTTTGTGAATTTTTAATGAAAAGAGAGAACTGGTGGTGAAAAGGTTAACCATAGAGCACTTATATGACAATTTTCTTATATTGTGATTGGTCGCCTGTACCATTTTCATTCCAAATATGCAAATTTTGGTGTATGAAATGAACAGTTTCATACCAAATATGGTAATTTTGGTGTATGAAATGAACAGCTTCATACCAAATATGGTAATTTTGGTGTATGAAATGAACAGCTTCATACCAAATATGGTAATTTTGGTGTATGAAATGAACAGCTTCATACCAAATATGGTAATTTTGGTATATGAAATGAACAGCTTCATACCAAATATGGTAATTTTGGTGTATGAAATGAACAGCTTCATACCAAATATGGTAATTTTGTCAAGTATACTAATTTCATTTAAACCATACCCAATTTAGAAATCCCCTTACTTGCATATACCTCATAACTGACTGCATTATTCATTTTACCCACAATGCATACAATAGAAGAATCAGGAAAAGCAGCTATCATCCATGGTAGCACTGAATCTGGTAATATTAACAAACAATATACTACATTGTCCAGCACTGAGGGCGCTTTGCACAATTAATTATTTAGTTTAGACTGTTATTTTTTATGGTGATGTAACTTTTAAGAAGGACA